GAAGGCAATACATTATATTTGGATTCTCACTTACATTAATTTCATAGACTTCAAAATCAGTCTTCAATAGTATTTCTGAAAGACGTAGGGACCCAGCTGCATAAGACTGCATGACGAGCTTCAGAACCTTCTGAATTTGAACTAAAAAAAAGAGAGAAATTAAATAAGGCACTAACTTATGTGACCAGTGTCACATAACCTGGATATTATGTTGCGATCCCAGAATTTTTAAGATAAAGTAGAAGAGATCATATAATTTCTATTAATACTTAACATTATTGTTGAATTGCCTTTAAAATATTGGAGATATTTATTTCTAAGAAAACTGAGTAATGGGTGATCTATAGTTGATTTGAACTTTACCAGATACTCAGATGGAGCCTTGGGAAATCATTTGTTTAATGGCAAAAAGTTTTAAAAATTCTGAACTATAAAATTTACTTTTCAATTTTAAAATTCCTGAACTGTGAAAAGTACTTACTTTCAAGTAAGTGTACTACTTTCATAAAATAATTTCTTACTTAAAACATGAGATGAGCAATCACTGTGTAGGCTGGCTAGTCAAGCTTGCCATAGTATCAGACAATGTCACTTGTACTCACAAAGTCACCATAGACCTTCATCTAAAACAAAGGTACTTCTTACTTAACAGATAGGTCCCTGTATGTAATAATTCTGCTTTCCTCATTTAGCAAAACACTAGCAGTTTTCATACCAAGTGTCTACCACAAGGCAGACTGTTTAATTAGCCTTTAACCTGGCTTTCATATAAACTATACATTATAGGTTGAACTGCATCCACACTCCTCAAATTGTCATGTTGAAGTCTTAACCTCCAGTACCTAATAATGTGACCTTATTTGGAGACAGGGTTTTTAAGAGATAATTGAGAGAAAATGAGGTTATTAAGGTGGGCCTTAATCTAATAAGGCTGTTGTCCTTATGAAAAAAAAAAGGGGGGGGGATTTGAACACAGACACACACACACACACACACACACACACACACACCATCATGTGAACTTGGAGATGTTTGCAGGTCCAGGAAAAGAAATGTGGAACAACCTCTTTCCTCATAGCCCTTGGAAGGAACCATCCTGCCACTGCCTTGATTTTCATGACAATTTATTTTAAAAACAGACAATTTCTTTTTAAATATAAATTAAAAAGAAACTGCTCTGGAGGATGGCCTAAGTCCTTGGGCCCTGCACCCGCAAGGGAGACCAGGAGAAGCACCTGGCTCCTGGCTTCAGATCAGCGTGGTGCACCCGCCGCAGCGGCCATTAGTGGGTGAACCAATGGAAAAGGAAGACCTTTCTCTTTGTCTCTTTCTCACTGTCCACTCTGTCTGTCAAAAAAAAAAAAAAAAGAAAAGAAAAAGAAACCGCTCATTTTTCTTAAAAATATGTTGGTTAATATTGAGACATTTTGGGCCGGCGCCGCGGCTCACTAGTCTAATCCTCCGCCTAGCGGTGCCGGCACACCGGGTTCTAGTCCCGGTTAGGGCGCCGGATTCTGTCCCGGTTGCCCCTCTTCCAGGCCAGCTCTCTGCTGTGGCCAGGGAGTGCAGTGGAGGATGGCCCAAGTGCTTGGGCCCTGCACCCCATGGGAGACCAGGAAAAGCACCTGGCTCCTGGCTCCTGCCATCGGATCAGCGCGGTGCACCGGCCGCAGCGCGCCGGCCGCGGCGGCCATTGGAGGGTGAACCAACGGCAAAGGAAGACCTTTCTCTCTGTCTCTCTCTCTCACTGTCCACTCTGCCTGTCAAAAAAAAAAAAATATATATATATATATATATATATTGAGACATTTTGAATGCCTACACAAGCTTCTTGTTTCTAGTTTACATTGTAACAGTTATATAAAATTAAGTTGTTTATAATTAGCTAGAAAAAATTAAAAGAAATATCACATATTTAGAAACTTTATAAGTGAAAACCCACTGCACTTTCAGGATTAAATCTTATTTAAGCATAATTTTAAAAAAATCAGAACCTAAGTAATGGTGATTCTGACCATGTTTAAATAGTATAGATGGTGATTTTATTTAAAATATTCGATTGAGGAGCTAGTTCTCTATTATTTCTATCTCTCTCATCTTTCCAACTACCTACCTGCCTCCAAGAGCTTTGTAATAATGGCAGTTAGAGGACAATTTTATGTCACACAGATCATGTAACTTTTTTTAAGTTTAAAACATTTGTAAACTGTGAGAAATTTTTTATGTTTTCCAAATCCATGACAAAGATAAATGTCTAACTTTTAAAATGGGTAAGTCTTCTAGCTCCACAACCAGTTCACACTGTGTTAGTGGTATTAATCAAAGAAATTAGATAAGACAAAGTAATTAGAGACTTTAGAATTGGAAAGGAAGAGGCTAACTATGTTAACTTCTAGATAGCATTACATATCTGGAAAGCCACAGGGAAAAAAAAATCAGTGAAAAAACTACTACAGATAGGAGTATTGGGAGGGTTGATAGTGTGCCTGTGAAGGATATAGAACAGGGAATCTGTTTCCTGTTTTTTTGGTGGGGGTTACATAAATCTATACATGTGTTAAAATTCATAGCACTGTGCAGCAAAAGAAAAAAGTAAATCGCTTTGAAAATAAAATAATTTAAAAGTAAATAAAAGAAGGCTACAAACAACCTAAGAGCAATTAGGAAAACAAATGAAAAATTTGATATGAAATATAAAAACTCAAAACAGTATAAGAAAATAGAATAACTGGGAAAAGGAAGTTGCATCTCTCCACTTCCTTTTACTCTTCATGCTATTCTATTTTTTTCTCTTACTTGAAACAGCTAATTTAAAAAAAAATAGCCTAAGACATGATGCTGGTTCATAGTTCTCTTAGAAATCTCTAAATAATATATATATATGTAATACATATAATATTCAATATATGGAATAGTCTGAGCTCTTTTCACATGCGTATTACTGACAATTCTCAAATACAGAGAAAGGAGTAAGTAAATATTATCTCTATTGCACAAATGTGAAACAAATAAGAGCATATGGATTTTGAGTAGAGTCATCTTTAAACTTATTCTGTGACAGAGTTGAAAGTAAAGACCACATGATTTATTTAAAGAGCAATCATTTCTATGTTTAAAATCTAACTTTGAACTCTCTTCAAGGATCTTATTTGATACTAGTTGATACTGTTAAGTTTACTTCCTTAGGTAACTCACTTATTAAAATGTTACACTGTCCACTGGATCATGTTATTTATATAATTATAAAATTAATTAGTAATAATTATATAATTATAAAAATATAATTTCTATTCACTATATACATGCTTCTAAAAGACTTATTTTTTAAAAATTAAGACAATTTGCAATACTATTTTTAAGAAAAAACATGCCAGATTACTACCAGATATTCAGCTTATTGAAAAATATTTATATATTTAATATAGCTCCTTTACTCAAAATTATGGGATAAATGTATAATGAATTGTATGCAAATGTCAATGTGAAGATATTTAGAAAATGAGGGAAAGTTTTGAAATAAAAGTGACAATATTGAGTGCCACCGTAAAATACTCAGAACTATCCACAAATTATCTGCTACCTCATTGTATAGATTAAAATCACAAGTAAATCAAATGACAATAATGGCAAGTGTGATGAAATATAATCTGAGTTGAATAAATGAGTTGAAATTCCTTTATCTTCAGTAGGAATCTGGCTCACATTTGATGGATGCTTTTTGAATATTTCAGCATTTTGACTCTTTGCTAAAATGAATATTGGGGAATTATATTAAATATGTCTGGGCAGATCAGAATAATATCACATCCATCTCTCTCTCACACACACACAGCGAAAGCGAGGATGAGAATTGAGAATGGAGCCTATTCTCTTGAAATTACCTCAGATACTGACTATAGTCTCGACTCAGGTTCTATTAAGACCTAGAGAAAGTTCACCTCTAGAAGTTCATCATTTCTGAGAATTATTGTTAATAAAAATGTACCATGTTTTGAAAAGACTTGCTACAAAAGATGTATGGAACAGCCTGTCTGTGAGTTCAGGAAGAAACAGTTTACACTTCCTGGAACTGGTTAGACTTCGTGTATAAAACCCACCAGGCCAGGCGTGAGCAGTACAGCCGAGCCTTGCTTAGACAGGTGTAGCTCTGGGAAATGCGTAGCCAGGCCATGTCATCCTTGCGTGAACACCACCTGGTGCCTTCATCCAGTCCTAGGCTTGGCGGGATGTAACATGGCATATCCGTCTCCTCTGCTCGCGTACACTGAGTTCTCTCAGGGGAGACGAACTGCACACCTACAGCACCTGCATGGTTTCCGTCTTCACTATCAAACACTCACACCCAGCTCAGAGGTTGTCAGGCGGCGGCAGGGGTGGGTGGGAGGCCTTCTTTGAGGAGACGGGACTTGAACTAGCATCGCACAAGGTGAGAAAGGGTGCTGACCCGCCAGTCAGTAGGCACCTGCAGCTACCAACCCCCTGAGACCTGGGCCGGGAAGGCTCCAAGGTCGCCCGAAAGCTGCGACAAGGAAGTGGCGCCTGGGGTCTTACAGCGTGCTTTCAGCAGCTCTCCTACGCTGAGGTTTATCCTACGCTGTGATCTACAAGCAGGAAGCCTCCTGGCTGTAAGACTGGCACACGAGTTTTGGCTCGCATATTTCTTGCCAGTGTTACCTCAGTTTGTTGGCTTTTCAAACTGTGGACGCACGTAGGCGCGTGTGTCACAGCCCACCCGTGTCCCACCGGCGCACCACACGTGCACCGCCTATCTACACGCTAAGGCAACTCAGGAAATTGTAGCCCGGAATCGTTGGGTTTTACTTCACGCAGCTTCGAGGAAGAGAAGCCGGCGAGCAAAAGAAAGCGCGGAGACGCCAGCGCGGGGCCACTGGCTTGGGCGCAGGCGGGGCGGCGCCGCGCGGGGCCGGGGAAGGAGAGGGGCGGGGCGTCGCGGCCTCGCACTGCGCATGCCCGGCTCGTGCGCCGGCCGGCGGGAAAGGCGTTGCCCGGAAGAGAGCGGCCTGACTGCTGGTGCCGAGACTCGCGGGCCTTGAGGGCGGGGGCGTCACAGCCCGCCACCACGCCGTGAGCCCCGCCTGGACCAGCACGAAGTACATGCAGAGCTGAGTCTGTCGCAGCGTGGTGGTGGTCTGCCATGACGTCCAGCCTTTCAGAAGAAGAGCAAGAAGCGGCCCGGCCGGCCAGGGCTGCCATGGCACACTTCTCTGAGGAGACTTTGAAGTCCCTGACCGATGAGGTAGGGAGTTTCCTTTCTTTCAGTTCCTCTGACGGAGAGCAGCCCAGGCCCAGTGCCTCAGGGAGCGAACGAGGGAGTAGGAAGCCGACTCCAAGGTTGGAAGAACAAGATAAGCGATCTGAGATGTGGGGCTTCAAGCGCAATGAAAATGAGCTGTGTGAAAAGTGGATCAGCCACCTCAAGGGCAAAGAACGTAACCCTGGACCGGACCAACCGGACGGCCAACTTCAGACGGAAGACGCTTTCGTGTCCGAAGAAGAACTGAATACCCTTCAGACTTTTTGCAGCGTGAAGATAAACTTGATCCACCATCGAGTGTCTTCCAAGGAGAAGAAGAGCCGCAGACGTAAAAGGCTGCGGGTTCCATTGGATGGAGAGGCCTCACATTGCCCTGTCCCTGCTGAACTTTTAAACAGAATCTATTTTAAAAATATGAGGATGACAGTAGAACAGGTGGCAGCAGCTGAGGAACACATTTCTTCTCAATGTCCAGATTGTAATAGGAAAAGGGCAGAGCTGGCCCAGGCGGCCTTCCTGAGACAAAAGAAGACGTTACTGGAGTCACTGCTACTCCAAGAGAAAATAGATGAACATCTGCACACGAAGGACGTTCTCACTCGTATTAGAGAAGCACATCAGGGCCTTCCCAGGCTCTCAGATGACCCAAAAATAATCTGGAGAAGACTGAATGAGAAAAGTCAGATCGGATGTCGTGGTATTGAAAGGCCAGATACAAAGCAGAAGCTGTAGCTAGATGGAAACAGCACTTGTCATTCATCTTTGCCACTTCTCAAGCCACTTACTTTAACCAAACAGGGCATGAAGATCATTACCAACAATGAATAATGGGGGTAGATATTCTTGTTGTGCATTTGGGTAATTACTGTCATTTTTACAAGCCCTTTGGAAACTAAGATATTAATATGCTTCTTTCTCAGATTTAAGGTCTAAGAACTTTGCAACTAGTACACTTCTCAGATTATGGAAAGCCATATTGGAGTAGTTGCAAAACTTTTACATCAATGCAGGAGAGAGATGCTAATATTTTGGAGTAGAATGGTGATAGCATGCAGAGAAAGAAGTACACAGATGCTAAGAGTGACTTAAGAAGCAATAATTGACTGTATTTGGTTATGAAATGGCCATGGGGATTTAATAAAAGGTAAATCGTAAAAATGTCACTAAAATTTTAATTTGTGTGCTTGAGTGAATGATACTTAATTTCATTAATATGGAAACTGGAGAAGGGCCATGTTTCATAGAGATGATCAAGAGTGATTATTTGGACATGGGTAGTTTGAGGTTTATCTGAGACACTAATTGATGAGAGTTTGGAGAAACACTTGGTTATTTGTACTTGTAGTCTAGACGAAACATCTAGAGATTTGAAATGAAGGGGGTGGGTGGGGAAATCATTGCCATATTGAAGTAACAGATGTCATAAGCTCTTCTGGAAGAGAGTAGAGTGAGGATGAGAGCAGGATTGGAACCAACCCCTGAGAAAGGTCAACAGTTACTGGCTGAGTAGAGGACAATAAGCCCATGTAAATTGTTGAGAAAATATTGTCACAAGAGAATAAAGAAAATCAGGAATTTATAGTGTCAAGGAAAGAGTACTTCAAGAAGGATGGGTTTTCTGAGCATGAGTAAGCATGCCAGTGCAAGATGATTTAGTCACCTGTTTGGCATTGTTGACCTTAGCAACAGCCACAGAGAACTTAGAAAAATTGTTTAGACAAAGTAGGTTGAGGAATAAATGTAAGATAAAGAAGTAAAGAAGGTGTATATATACTACTTGAGAAGTTTAGAGGGAAAGAGGGATGATGTTGGAGGCAGATGTAGAATTGAGGGAAGAATGCTTGGAAAAACTACCTAAAAAGCTATTTTAGTCATGAAGATTTCTTGAAAATTCTGTGTTCACTCTAATTTCCATTCTCAGGAAGCAGTATTCTCTGGGGAATACCATGATATTTTGAAAATACATTTATGGGACTAAAATATTAGCATTCTGAGAAATCATATTTCTTATTTATTTTCCCTATGAATATATAAAGTCCTAATGTCATTACCCGGAGTTCATTTTTCCACATGTTTAACACCTAAACTATTTCAGGGAAAGACAAATTTGTTTGCAAAAATCAACATAAAAGAGTCTTTGTATCAGGTTCCATCAGACTTTCTTTTATGTATAAAGATACTCTTTTCCCTGTATAATTTAAGCTTATTTCCTCTTAGTAGGTCATTTCTAAATAAAATGGAAAAGTCATTACCATGCTCATAGTAACTTTTTATTTGAAATCCACATTATGTCATGCTTTATCTTTGGTATCTCAATATATTCACATTTCACACAATCAAAATTCTGAATAATTTTCCAGTTAGAATTACCCAATTAAAGGTCATGCTCCACCCTTTCTTGGTCAACCAAGCTAGAAATCATAGTCACCTTTTGTTCCTCCTTTTTTATTTTAACTCAACTGCAATCTATTTTTAAACAAGGCTACTAGATTGCTTTTCTTCAGTATTTTCTGACCAAGATTTTTTCATCTCATCATGACCCTCTCATGATTTTTGCCTTTACACTCTTACTTCCTCTCCTCTTCAGTCCATTCTCCATACAGCTGTCAGAATTATTTTTCTAACATACAAACCTATTCAAATTAAGTCTGCTGATTTAAAACAACTCTAAATGGTTTAATCTCTACTGCAGAAATAGCACTTGATAGATTGAACTAATTAATGATATATAAAAGTTCTTTAACATCTGGCCCTAGCATCCTTTAAATTCTTCTGTTATCCTTAAGTCTATATGAAGCTTCTCTATAGGACTTGGAATTGCCTAAGCTTTCTTATTCCTTGTGCCACTGTAATTGCATGTATATATTGGTTTGTCTCAAATTCTCTTAGCTGCTTTTTTCAACTGATATACACTTCTTTTTACATTTTTAAAATTTTATTATCATCAGTAGGTGACAGTTACATAATTGTAAAATCAAATAGATTCTAAAAGGTTTGTTTACAAAATTTCTCTTTCTTACTCTGTTACCATCCAAACTCATTCTACACTATTTTGCCATACCCCTTCCCTGCCAGGGTTAACTCTTTATTTGCTGGATCATGGGATAGTCATGCATCCTAGGATAAAAACAGAAGAGGGAATTCAGAGAATTAGGGAGTGATCATTTACTAATCAGAACAGAAATATTTATATTTTTGCCAGTACGACTTTATCTGTGTGTTACCTATAAATAACAACTGAAATTAATATCTTTGATATTATTCCAGTGAATATACAAACACTGAAGATAGTTTACCATGTATTCTCTTTTGTACCTTGCTCTTTTGCTTGCATTGTGGTAAAACATATAAGAAAATTTCCATTTCAACCATTGCTAATAGTACCATTTAGTGACATTACATTCAGAATGTTGTGCAACCTCAACACTATTTCCATACTTTTTCATCATTCAAACAAACTCTGGGTCCATTAAGCAATAACTTCCCAAATTTTCCTATTCTAGTTGCTGGTAACCTCTAATGTACTTTTTGTTGCTATGAGTTTTCCTATTGAGGTGTTTCATATAAGTGGAATTTCTCAGTAATTTGTCCTTTTGTATTTGGATTATTTTGCTACATAGTGTTTTCAAGGTTCACTCATACTGTAGCATGTATCAGAACATTGTTTTATGGCTGAATAATATTCTGCTACATGAATGTATTTCAAAAAGTCCATGGAAAATGCATATCACCTTTCAGTTCTGTGTTTCCATGAACTTTTTGTGGTAACTCTGTATTACATGTAGGTTTATCCATTCATTTTACTCGAACTTGAGTTGCCTCCACTTGTTGGGTATCACATTATTAATAATAATGTTGATGCTGCTATGAACACTGGTTACAAATATCTATTTGAGAACTTGTTTTGAATTGTTTTGCATCTATACCTTGAGGTAGAATTGCTATATCATATGGTATTTCTATGTTCAAATTTTTAAGGATCTGGCAAATTGTTTCCACAGCAGTTAGAACATTTTACAATTCCACCAATAACAGAGGTTCCACTTTCTTCAAACTTTCCAGTTTCCACTTTAAAAAAAAAAAAAAAAAAGAATACTATCATCCTAGTTAAGTGTGAAATGGTATCCCATTGTCTTTTCATTGGTAATTCCACAAATGCCTATGATGTTGGTCATTTTTTATTTTATTTTATTTTCTCCTTTGTAGAAATCTATATTCAAATCCTTTGCTTGTTTTTATATAGCTTTTAGTCTATTTTGCTAAGTTGTATGAGTTATTTATATATTATGGATATTAGATAATCAGACTTAAGATATGCAAGTATTAGATTTTGTGGGTTATCTTTAATCTCTTGAAAATTACTGTCCTTTGAAGCACAAAAGTTTTAAGTGTTTTTTAAAGATTTTTATTTTATTTATTTGAAAGAGTTACAGAAGGATAGTGAAAGAGAAAGAGAGAGAGATTGAGGATTGAGGGAGAAAGATGGGGCGGGGGAGAGACTGATTCCATCCACTGGTTCATTCCCTAGATGGCCACAATGGCCAAGGCTGGGCCAGGCTAAAGCTAGGAGCCAGGACCTTCCTCCCTGATGGCAGGGGCCCAAGGACTCAGGCCATCCTCCTCTGCTTCCCCAGGCACATTAGCAGGGAGCTGGATGGGAAGTGGAGCAGCTGGAGCATGAACCGGCACCCATATGGGATGCCAGCGCTGCAGGTGGTATCTTTACCTGCTATGCCCCAGCTCCGGTCCCAGAAGTTTTTAGTTTTAATGAAGTCCAATTTGTTTCTTTTCATTGCCTATTCTTTTGGTGTCATATATGAGAAACCATTGCTGAAACTAAGGTCATTCAGATTTTCCCTATTGTTTTCTTATTAGAGTTTTACAGTTTTGTCTTAGAATTAGGCCTTTAATCCATTTTTTGAATTAATTTTTTACTAATTTGAATAATTTCATTCTTTGTAGTTTTTCAGCATCATCATTGGAGAGAATTGTTTTCCTCCTTGAATGGTCTTGGCAATGTTGTTAAAAATCAATTGATGGGGCCACACTGTGGCTTAGTGGGTAAAGCCAGTGCCTGCAGTGCCAGCATCCCATAGGGAAGCCTGTTTACATCCTGGCTGCTCTATTTTTGATCCAGCTCTCTGCTATGGCCTGGGAAAGCAGTAGAAGATGGCCCAAGTCCTTGGGCCCCTGCACCCACATGGGAGACCCAGAAGAAGCTCTTGGCTCCTGGCTTCGGATTGGCTCAACTCCAGCCTTTGGGGCCATTTGGGAAGTGAACCAGAGGAAGGAAGACCTCTCTCTCTCTCTCTCTCCTCTATCTCTCTGCCTGTCTGTAACTCTGTCTGTCATTCTTTATAGTTTTTTAGCACTATCATTGAAGAGAATTGTTTTCCTCCTTGAACAATCTTGGCACTGTTGTTAAAAATAAATTGAAAGGGCCAGCATTGTGACATAGAGGGTAAAGCCGCTGCTGCTGCAGCATCCCATTTGAGTGCTGGTTAGAGTCCCAGCTGCTCCACTTCTGATACAGCTCCCTGCTAATGGTCTGGGAAAGCAGCCAAAAATGGCCCAAGTGCTTGGGCCCCTGCCACCCACAAGGGAGACGTTGAAGAACCTTCTGGCTTCAGCACAGCCCAGCCTCAGCTGTTGTGACCATCTGAGGAATGAACCAGTGGATGGAAAATCTCTCTCTCTCTGTCTCTCCCTCTCTTTAATTCTGACTTTCAAACAAATAAATAAATCTTAAAAAAAAAAATAAATTTACCATAGAAACATGCTCTAAATTCTATTCCATTGTTCCCTACTGGTATGTCTATATTTATTCCAGTACCATACTGTTTTGATTATTGTGCTCGAAGTCAGTTTTTAAATAAGCAAGTGTAAAACCTACATCTTTATTCTTCCCTTTAAAAATTGTTTCAGCTATTTAGAGTTCTTTGAGATTCTGTATGAATTTTAGGATGGATTTCCATTTCTAAAAACAAAAAAGAGCTATTGGACCTTTCATGGGGATTGCATTGAATTTGCATTTTTGTTTTCAGTAGTTTTGTCATCATAATGAAATTAAGACTTTTCATCTAAGCTTGTGGATAGCTTTTAATTTATTTATGTACTCTTTAATTTTTTCCACAAATATTTCATAGATTTCAGTGTACAAGTCTTGTGCCTCCTTGGTTGAATTTCTAAGTATTTTATTTTCTTGGTTGCTGTTATAAATGGAATGTTTTAAAAATTTTTTGTATTGTTGATTTCTAGTGTATAGAAATTCAGTTGATTTTGTATACTGCAATTCCACTGAATTCGGCTTTTAATTCTAACAGATTTGAAAAATGAATTCTTTGGAGTTTTCTGGATAAAGGTTATGTTATCTGCAACACAGATAATTTTATGTATTCCTTTTCAAATTAGATGTCTTTTACTTCCCTTGCCTACTTGCCCTTTCTATAACTTCCAGTGCTAGAAGAAATAGAAGTGGTGAAAGTGGTATCTTTGTTTCTTTTCTGATCTTAGGGCAAAAATTTTTAGTCTCTCACCATGAGTATGATTGTAGTTACAAGTAGTTTTACTATGGCATCCTTATGTTGAGGAAATTCACTTTTATCCTTACTTAATATTGTGGTTTTTTTTTTTTAAATAAAAGGGTTTTGGTTTTTGCCAGGTTTTAGTTTTGTTGTTGTTGTTTGTTTCTGCATTAATCGAGATGATTGTGTGGTTTAGTGTACTCTTTAACCTGACCTAAAATTTCACCTTCTTTTCACCTATCTCATAATTCTAAAAAGTGATTAACCAGAATTAAAGACTGTAGCCTGTATGCTGCATTACATTAAAGTAAATTTGTATTACAACCATACTTGCTTGATTAATATACTTTTTCTCTTTTACTTGATTATGGGCAATTCAAGAATATTATTAGCACTACTTAGCACTGTGGCTAAAACTTGATGGTGCTCACCAGAAGTTTCATGGATTGAAAAATAAGCACTTCTAAATAATGACATGGAATGTCTTTTCCACCAAATGAGGGAAGCAGTCTGCTAGCATTATGTTATCTGTCCATTTTGCTTTTGTGTAGCTGTTGTTGGTAATATTTCTCTTTACCATTTTATGAATTTAGGTTACCTTCTAGCATGTGTACACATTTTTTTCTCAGTGGAAAAGTAATGCAAAGCTCTTTTTTAAAAGATGTATTTCCAGGAATTATGGAGCTAATTAATGTAGTACTCATTTTTAAGAATCATTGTAAAAACATTTCTATGTAATCCACGTTCTCAGATGGAAAAAGTCATCTGGATTGTTAATTTTAGAGATAATTGATGAATTTCTGAAATTCTTGATGCTCAGACTTGAAAACAATTTTTTTTTGTCCCTGAGTAAATTCAAAAGGAATGAGTATGGTTTCTCCAAACTTTTTATAGCTGCACCCAAGAGATTCCAGTGCAGTTGAAATGGAAAGTCTGTCAGATCAGGTGCTAAGAAACCATGTATTTCTCTAATGCACTAAAAAATGTATCTTATGGATTTGTATAGCTGTACATGCAGGATATATAAACTTTTATATTTTATATTTTATCATCGAGGTTTCTTATGAAATACAGTAAAGTTCTGCACTCAGATACAAAGCTATGCATTGAACAAATATTGTAGTAATGAAATCCTTGAAACAGAAGTAAGCGATATGCCAGATTGAGAAAAAAAGAAAATTCAGTCCTGAACATCTGAGTCATTCAGATTCCAGTCTCAGAACTGTTTAGGAATGTTTGGGACACCCAGCTCAGAATACCTCCAATTTTAAACATGTTAGTTTATTTCACGATGAAGCCTAATATAGTAACTTAGCTGTTTCTGTAGCAACATAGCTAAACAGGTTGCAGAGAAATAGGGATTGTGGCTATGTGGGAATGGGTTGTCCCTCAAGTTTGTCTGAAATTGGTAGATGAAAAAAATATACACAAAGTATACTCTAGGGTCCAGTGCTGTGGCACAGCAGGTTAACGCCCTGGCCTGAAGCACTGGCATCCCATATGAGCACTGGTTCGAGACCCAGCTGCTCAACTTCCGAACCAGCTCTCTGCTACGGCCTGAGAAAGCAATAGAAGATGGCCCAAGTCCTTGGACCTCTGCACCCACATGGGAGACCCAGAAGAAGCTCCTGGCTCCTGGCTTCGGATTGGCTCAGCTCCGACCGTTGTGGCCAATTGGAGAATGAACCATTGGATGGAAGACCTCTCTCTCTCTCTGCCTCTCCTCTTTCTGTGCAACTCTGACTTTCAAATAAATAAATAAATCTTTAAAAAAAAAAAGTATACTCTAAAAGGAAAGCATAGCTGAACATCTACTTGCAGTAGGAATTTAGAATTCATAAATTTCCCAATTTTCCAATTCACGACACATTCAAGTTGCAGTAAAAATTGCAAAATTTTGTATATAAAGATAATTGAAAATGAATCTTGATGTGAATGGGATGGGAGGAGGAGTGGGAGATGGGGTGGTTGCAGGTGGGAGGGAGGTTATGGGGGGAAAAAGCTGCTATAATCCAAAAGTTGTACTTTGGAAATTTATATTTATTAAATAAATGTTAAAAAAAAAGAAAATTGCAAAATTCTATCAAAGTGGCTCATATAGTCATAAGACCTGATTTTGATGAACCTGCTGTTTGTTGAGGTATTAACTGAGATTTAAGAGAAAGTATGTTATGGTCATTTGATTCAAAATTTGCCTTGGAGGTTGAGACTAATGATGCAACACTTGCACTGAGAAGGTATGGAAAGGTGTACTACTTAGATAATTAGTTTTCCCTGGAAGCGTGTGTGTGTGTGTGTGTGTGTGTCTGTGAGTGTATGTGCTGGGGATTGATCAGAACAATCTCCTCTAAGTAAGAAATAAAATGACTTTAAAGTAAGGAAGGGGCCTTCCTTGGCTTTTATCATATTTAAGAGGTGGAGCTGAGGTGAGGATGCCTACATATGGAGTGGAGCTTCCATAGTTTAAACTTTCTGTCAGTATTAAAGAAGGGAGTAGCTGGCTTTCTTTGAAGAGAGTGGCTTAAAAGTTGTCAGCAGGAAAATATAAAAAATGAAGTTATATTCTTTTTTGCCATTTACCCTGATGTTTGACTGGTAACTGAAACACACTGTTTTATTAAATTTTTACTTAAATATGCCATAATGGTGCTCTATAATATCCATAGCTTGAGATGGGTAAAGGTGGTAAAAGTTCCACTGAATACCTTGTTCAGGAGTCCAGCATTGTGGATTTTGAAGTGAAATATGTGCCTTGGTAATATGGTTCGCATTTGACTTTTCTCCCAACGATTCATGTTCTGGAAGCTGGGTCTCCCATGTGGCAGTGTTGAGGTGGTTGAACCTTTAAGACTTGGCATAGTGGAAGATAATGAGGTCACAAGGGCAGCACTCTCAGAAGGGATTAATGTAGATCTGTGTGGCTGGATTAGTTCTCAAGAGTGCAGTCTGTTTGGCCTCTTCTGCATGTAATCAGTTCCATTTCTGCTTCTCAGCCAGGTTGTGACATTGCCAGGGAGCCCTTATCAGAATTCCAGGACCATACTTTTGAGACCCTTCAGCCAGCAGAATGGTAAACCAAGTAAGCCTCTTTACTTTATAAATTGCACAGTTTCAAGTAATTTGTTAAAGCCACACAAAATTGAGTAGGGCAATACAAACAATGCCTGAAAGTCTTAAGAGGAAAAGGTGAGAACTTGTATCGTGGATTAATGAGTACAGACATGTTTGATGTTAACATATTTTGAGTATCTGCGAGGAAAGAGATATCTTTGGTCATTTTCCTTTAATGGGAAAACCATAGATAAGTAAGTATGTTTGCTACCATTGGTGGAACCAGATGGCTAGACCATTGACAGTAGCACAAGATTCTAATAAAGAAGCAGAATCGGAGCCAGTTGTTGGCCAGACCAACCAGTGGTATTACACCCACCTAAAGTTCATCCAAATCATACATATTTTCTTGCCCCTGGACCTCATTCTTCATCAGTGATATCTGGATTGAGGGATGAAAAATAGCAGCTTTCCAAAAAGTACCATCATGTATAGATTTGCATGTAGAACTTCCCATTGTTATTCACTTCCCATTGTTATACCAAGGAGATCACCAGGTAAGGGGTTCAAGAAAGAGATTTTTCTCTTCTTGCCTTTCTGTAGACTGGATAGTTCCAAAGGTCCAGACTTGGTTCTTTCTTGTGGCTTAGCACTGTGTTTTAGCAAGGAAGCCTTGTTAGCCTTATCGAACATACAGGATGTTGCTTCCAGAACTCACAGAAAAGTATGGAGAGTCATAGGCTTAGGGCCCATGATAATCTCTGTTCTTAGGAGCTCAATAAAAGACAGCATTGCCACTCTAACAGTGCATAGTGTGGGACTGAGGAGGGAAATTTCTTGCACCAGAAGTACATGAGAAACTTATGCCTATTGTGGGTGCCCAGAGATTCCAGCAAGTATGAGAGGAAGTTGCTAAAATCTCTACAGTGAAGGATTTCCTGGGTGTTGGGAAGAGGGATGCTAAGGATAGGCCCATTGTGTTGCAATTCAAACAGATTCTAGAGCCTCATTGCAGGAGACCCAATTAGAGAAGGGTGTTAGCGAGTCATTGGCTCTGAGTTTGCTTGTTTCCTTTGTGAACAGAGGTGGTGCCCAATGCTTGAAGCTGTATGGTTAAGATAGTGATGCATGTCCATGGCTTTGTGAGCATAGGCCTCCAGTGGCCAGCTCCCTGAGGAGAATTTTGCATGGGTGGGTGGCTGACTGGATGGACATGCACTGGACTGGATGCTGGTTAGGAATCATGATGACTCACTGGATCCAAGAAAGCTGCTGAACTGCTGTCCTGGTTGGGCTTCTGTCTGTGTGTTCTGTGGAGCACTGGTGGAAAGCGTGTGCCTGACGCCAGCTCGGACAATAGATCAACTGCCTCTGCAGGACCTTTCCCTGTTGGCACTGTTCTACATGTCAGCGGCATGGTCTGTTCAGGGCCACTCTGGGTCTGCATGTTTGGTCCTGTGGCTGAATCTGACACTGTGAACTACTGTTACTGATCGTGTCCCATTCTCAGCTTCTCAAGACTGTTCTGGTCCTACTAAAGCTACTTTATCATGATATGCCTGATGGTTGGTGGTCATGGTGCCAGTGGTCAGCTGATTTTGATGCTACTTCTGGACCTGGACCAGAGCAGACTGCTGAGTCAGAGTGAACAAGTACTGGGTGAGCTCAGCAACGGCCACAGACTGGTGCTTAAAGCTTCTGATCTGTTGGTGTTTTCCACATTTCTTGGAACAGGTTCAAAAAGAAAGTTAAATGAATCAACTGATACCATGGTGGTATCATTCATCTGTAGAATTTGGCATTTATTTTCCTCTGAGAGATAAATCCCAGGAACTTCTCATTGTTCATCTTCACTTCATCATATACGGATGGGGTCACTTAAAAATTTCATGGAAATTGGAATTAAAAGATAGCTTTATTTTTGTATAATAATATTTTGAAATCCATTTATCCCAGTCCTGGGAATATTTCCAAAGGAAATGAAATCAGCATATGAAAGAGTTACCTGCAGTCCCATATTTATAGCAAATAAATTCACAATAGCAAAGATACTGGTGGATAAAGAAAATGTAGTATATGTATACAATGGAATATTACTCAAACATAAAAAAAAATGATATCCTGACATTTGCACAAAATGGATGGGCCTGGAGATTGTTATGCTAAATGAAATAAGCCAAACTCAGAAAGACAAGCATCATGTTTTATCCCATTTGTGGAAGTTAATATCGAGTGTAAAATTGTGTAAATATCATATCATTTGGTACATAGTTATAAGTATTGCTTCATTGAATCATACCTTATAAATGATAATATATTGTTTCCCTGTTATGATCATTGCCATGATTCCCTCACTTTGTGATATTAATATCTCTGTTTTCAAGAAAAAGTAGTATATATGTGTCTGTATGTAATATCTACTTTTGGGGTGAATGTAGCAAAATGTTAAAAAATTGTTAAATTTTATAATAAAAAAGAACTTATAATTAAAAAGAAATTAATGCATAGTTCTTTTGTAATACACAATTTTTTGAAGACTCTGTGTACACAGATTTCAAATTTATTTTTCAGTGAAACAGACTTATCTTTAAAGTCTATTATCTACAGTCTTTTGGGAATACTCTCATAGCTACCTTTCATTTTTAAATTCTGGACTTTTTTCCCTGGCCCAAGGCCAGTACTATGGACCTTGCTTGACATCACTACTACTATTATCACAGATCCTTCCTGCTGTCCGAGTTCAGGGGAGCAAATGATTAGCCCTGGGACTTCTGAGTTGTTGCACAATACAGAGACCAGGTCAGGCAGGGGATAGGGAAGGTGGTGGTTGGACATGCATTCTCATGTCTTCTTGTATTACTCACTTTTCTGCTCACTCAGCACCCAGCATTCAGACATTTTTGCTTTTCTCAAAGTAACCGAGTTTCTTCCCACCCTCTTCGGTGTGTATTTAACTGTTCCTCTCTGGCTTCTTCTCATTATTCAAGTTTCATTATTGGTATCAACTCAAAGACTTTCTGGAACATCTTACATAAATTGTTTGCCTCCCACCAGTCACTTCCCATCATATGTCCATGGTTATTTCCTTCAAAAGAAATTTAAAATCTGAAATGATCTTATTTGATGTTTAATTTTTAATTTATCTCTTTTTTTACACCAGTGGAGTCTCCTTGAAACTGGGACTCTATTTGAATTCCTTAGATTATTGTCATAATTGGGGACCATAAAAACATTGCAAAATAGCATAAAATGAGCACTTGGCCTGTAGTCAGGTAGAAGACATGCTGTCTGAGCGTAAAACCTCTGATAAGAGTTGCAGTTGTTGCAGGTGTATATTCTGTAGCCCAGCTGGGGGTTATAGGCAGGCCCACTGAAACGCAGGAAGCTTCCCAAAGGAGAAATTTGGCTCAAGGACTCCTCAATGGTTAGATGAAACTTTCTTGGAGCTGTGCACAGACCAAGGCTCTTCTACCTCAGCTCCTCTTCTTTCTCTTTCTCATTCCATAGATTTCAAAATGCAGTCTGAAGCCTCCCCCCACCTCCTGTTAATTCTCCTATTCTCTAATCCCATATCAGCCTCTGATTTTCATTGTACCAAAATTTACATGTTCCTCTATGAGAACTAATTCGCTGATTCATTTCATAACTACTATTGGCTAAATGCTGGAAACTTAAAGATTGGAAGAAGGTACTGTTATAAATGAACTTAGGGACTTTTTAGAACACAAAAATGTAAACAATTATGTATAATATAATGTCATTAATACAATCACATATAGTCAGAGACCTTGGCATGTGTGAGGGAATGTATATAAGAGGAGCGATTACTTGAACAAAGGCTTCAAGGTTGTGTTTCTGGATTATAAAGAACAGACATGGGCAGAGGGTGGCAACTTTAATGGGATTAAATTTTACTTTTTTTTTTTTAAAAGATATTTTATTTTTTAAAAGGCAGGATGACAGAGAGAGAGAAACAAATCTCCCATTCTCTGGTTCACTCCCTAAAAGGTTACATTGGTTGAGGCTGGGCCATGCTGAAGCCAGGAACCTGGAACTTCATCGAGGTCTCTCACATGAGTGGTAGGGGTCCAAGCACTTTCTGCTACTCTACCAGACACATTAGTAGAGAGCAAGACTGGAAGCGGAGCAGCCAGGATTTGAACTGGAACTGCCATACAGGAATTCCTGTGTTGCCGGTTCTGGCTTAACCATCTGTACCATAATGCTGGGCCTGAATTCTACTCTGTAATTTATGAAGGTGTGTTAGTTTGCTAGGGCTTGTGTAACCAAGTGCCCCACACTGGGTCACTGAAGAAGCAGAAGTATTTTGTCTCTGAATTCTGGAGTTGAGGGTCTGAAACTGAGGTGTTAATTGGTTCCCTCTGGGGGCTGTGATGGAAAATATACTCCATGCTTCTCAGTTGGTGGTTTGGGGGGGTTTGCTAGCAGTGTTTGGTGTTCCTTGGCTTACAGGTACATAGTCCCTATTTGTGCCTTTATGTTCCTTTTGTGTTCTCCCTGTGTTCACATTTCTGTGCAAATTTCCCCCCCTTTTTAAGGACACGAGCCATGTTGGATTAGGGTACATGATTGCTTCTGTAAAGACGCAATTTCCAAATACAGTCACATTCTGGGGTATTGAGGATTAAGACTTCAACATTTGGATCTTGAGGGGATAAAGTCAAAAAGGAACAGACGGGGAGGGAGGAAAACAGAGGAAGAATGCCCAGCATTTCATTTTGGTGAAATCACTCTAGACTCTTTTTTGAAGATGGGCATTCAAGGCCGTGCTTCTCAACCATCACCACACATGAGAATCATCTGGGAAACTTGCAAAATAGACCAATATCCAGGCCCTGCTTGTGGATATTCTGATGCAATTGTGCTAGAACATCCTGGCATAGTGCTTCATGAAAGCTTCTCAAGTGGTTGTAGCATGCAGCTGCGTTTAGATAGACTGTTTTAAGCTTGAAACAGAAAGGCCAATTGGAGACTATTTCATTAATCACCTAAAGAGATAATAAGGCT